CCCTAAACCCCAACCCCTAAACCCTTGAACCCCTAAGCCCTGAAAGCCTCGGTCCAATAGCTGTGGTTGAGGACACAGCTGCGGCGGTGCTGCGGGAAGGCTTCCAGCCTAAGGTGGGACGTAATGTACCAGTAGGTGCCTAAATAATTACCAGTACTATTCTGGGGGGGGTTCCTTATTATAGTTATAGTATAATGGGCCCCCAAAACTTCTTCTTCCCATTGTTAAGGCCCCTACATTACTCGTGCTTTCTCCTTATAGTCCCTGTACAAGTACACCTACCCCATGTCGAACTCAGATCATGATCAGGCTTTGTGTCTTGTGGTGGAAGTAGGCTAACCTTTCTGGGGTTGGTTAGAGCGTGTGGACCAAGTTGGCATGGAGTTCTCCCAGGTTTCGACTGGAGCTTCAGGGTAAAGGGTCTTAGTTTCCTTTATTGGGGCTCTAGGGTTGGAGGGTTTCGGCTTCCGGGTTTCAGGGTAGCTCAAAGATTGATGTTCTCAGGTTCAAGGGCTGGGGTTTATAGCGTTCGGGTTTCTGGTTGAGGGTTACATTTGACGTGCAATTCTTTATCATGGAAGGACGGTTGTTCATGGGCGGGAGATTGGAACTTGAGCTTCCTCTCCTAAGCTGCTTATCGAAGGCCTCCTCGGACTGTACCCTAGACCCTAAACCCTAAACCCTAAACAAAAAAACCCTAAACCCTAAACCCTAAACAAAAACACCCTAAACCCTAAACCCTAAACCCTAAACCCTAGGCCTCCTCGGATTGTAGTTGAGCCCTTGGCTGCCGGTGTTCAGGTCGCCGTAGATCCTGAGCAGCGATGCCCCTGCCCCGGATGGATCGATGGTGGTGAGAAGCGTCGGACTCTGTTTTTGTAGATATCAACCTAGGATCCCTTGTTTTAAGGTACCAGTACCCAAAACCTCTGTTTTGTAGATATCATCAACCTAGGAGCCCGTTTTAAGGTACCCAAAATCTCTGTGTTGTAGATATCAACCTACGTAGGATCCCTTTTTGAGGTACCCCAACATCTCTGTTTTGTAGATATAAGCCTACGTAGGATCCCTTCTAAGGAACCCCAAAATCTCTGTTTTGTAGATATAAGCCTACGTAGGATCCCTTTTTAGGTACCCAAAATCTCTGTTTTGTAGATATATAATCCTAGGATCCCTTTTTCTAAGGTACCCGAAATAGTACGGCACCCTTATCACAAATGACCCTGAAAGGGACCCTAAACATTACAGAACTACACCATAAAACTATAGTTTCCGTATTGACATCTCCACTTACTAAGCCCACTGATGCTTTAATGTAGGTTGTAGTCATACTCACTGGAAGCGTGAAGCACTAATGGTAGCCCCAAGCAATTATCACCGCAACTTTGGTAAACCAAGCAGCATGGTAAACCCTAGTTGCACCAACAGAGACAGTACCCATTTGACGGTGGCACCTCTTGTAGAGCGTTGGGCCTAAACCCTAAACCCTAAACCCTAAACTCTGCACCCCAGGCCTCCAAGCAACCTAAAACCTACACCCTAAACCCCAGCACCCCAAACCCTAGGCCCTACAAAGCCCCTAAGACCTTTAGCCTGCATCACCCCTGACTCTGTTTCTCTAACGCCTGATCTTCCCATGTCGACTTTAAGGGGCCTTCGAAAATGGAGAAGCATGTAAAGGTAACTTGCACCCCAACCCACCCCAACTAAGGTACGTCTGAACCTACTTGCCCAGTCCCCTGATCCTTTGGCAAGCCCACCTCAAAAACTGGAAGCCCCAACCAGACATGGACCCTCTATAATCCCCTGGCAATCCAGATGCAAAACCTTAAACCTTAAACCCTAAACTCTAAACCCTAAACCCTAAACCCTAAACCCTAAACCCTAAACCCTAAACCCTAAACCCTAAACCCAACATACTAAGTCGCCTGATCCTTCGTGCAGGATTAGAAGCCTTGGGGCGTGTCGGGATCCGGCTTGCGGCTTTAATATAGGGGCCTTAGAATAGGGTTTGGGGGTAATGTTATACTAAAATGATAAGGGATTCGGCTTGAGGCCTTAATATAGGGGCCTTGATAATTCGAATAGGGTTTGGGGGTATGTTATACTAAAATTATAATCAGGAACCCCCCCCCATTTTAATAGGGTTTGGGGGTATGTTATACTAAAATTATAATAAGGAGCCCCCCAAGACCCCATTCTAATTATTAAGGCCCCTGCATTACAAAGCTTCAGAGCTCCTGATCCTCGAGGTCTCTTGGTACATAGCCTGCCTGAGCGCCTCACCGTGTTCCCTTGCGGCTCATCGGCCGTCGTGCGTGGATGCCTCAGCCTGTCAGATCGAAAGACGGTTCGACGAGGATTTAGGGTTCAGGGTTTAGGGTTTAAGGGTTTAGGGTATAGGGTTTTCCTCGGGGTCCTGTAATGGTGCCAAAAGGTTTAGGAAGTTTTAGGGTTTACTTGAGTCTTCAGGCTTTTGGGCCTCCGGGAGTAAGTAGGGTGTGGGTTAGATTCGGATCAGGGCTACGTGCAGTCTTGTCTTCCAAGGTGCTGAATAGCTGTTCTTAGTATATTTTGGAGTTCTATCTTAAAGCGCCGCCATGCCCCCGCCAGCTTTCTTACCCATGCAATCCTTCGCTAGGATCTTTTGATGGAGCTCTACTTTTCAGGAATTCTTAGGAACAGCTTGTCAGGCCAAACCGTCCTAAACCCTGAACCCTAAAC